GTTATTTAAAAACTAACATATTTGCTGTGACCAAAGTGCTTACAGTAAGCAATAAAATGAGAGAACCTATTACTTAAAGAAAAAAAAGAAAGAATTAAAAAAAGAAAGAAGAAAGAAAATCACACCAGGAGCATGTGTGTACGTGCCCAAGATCGTGGGAGGAGATTGGAGGAGAACGGATTGTGTCGTGGCTATCTCTGCTTGGGCATGATTTCTCACTTTCCCTCTCACTGTCTCCCTCTCGCCTCCCCCACCCCAGTGCACAGGCCCTAAGGCAAAACCTCTAATAAATAAATAACTAATGATAATAAAGGCTAGGGTATTAAACTGCAACATACCTATTGTATTCTTCACCACTTAAGAAGAAAAAAAAAGTCAGTTTCACTCCAGCATTTCCTGGTTGGGGCATTACAAATTATTGACCTCAGGGCCTTCAGGTGGCATGGAGGTAATGTGGTTGGTCCCAGATGGCCGGCTTCACTGTTCCAGTTCCAGACCTGGCAGCAGGAAAATCACACTGGGCTCATTTTGCGTGTGTGCCCAAAATCCGAAAGGAAAACGCAGTGATGCCAGCTAAAATCCAGCAGCCATCTCTGTGAGTAATCAAGAGGCAAACAAAGAGAGAAATTAGCTTAGTTAGCTGTGTCTGAGCACAGGGAGTGGCCGAGAGCTACCAAGACCACAACCAACTCCCAGACAGAAATTTCCAGAGTGTTATATACCATTACACTTCTTGTGTATCCACTGTTATCTATCGTACAACATAAATTCAGCTAGCTCCGTGTTCCTCTGACCTCGTGATTTCCCAGATTAGTTCTGCACACCTTTTCCTTTCACATGACCTGTGGGACCCTGTTTTTGTTCTTAGGTGACATTGAATCAGTTAACTCAGAGTTGTAACATATGTTGATAGATTAAGGGGAGCTGCAATGCATTTTCTTTAAGTTGTACTGTTTAACAAACAATCTAAACATCTGTGAGTAGCTATTACAGTAAATGACAACATTATTACAGTTTTCCCAACTAGCTTGCTGCACTGTGTCCCTTGAGTAAACATGCCCATTTCTAGCCAGGACCCAGTCCTGTTGCATTTTCATGACTTTGTCTAAAACAAGCGGCTTTAGTTTCCTCTTCTAAGCAAACAGGTTTATTTATGACCTTATTTGTTACAACGGTTACAGATTACATTAGTTATGGAAGCCACGTGCACCAGTTAGCCCTGAAAGTATAAGAAAGAGGAATAAAGTAAAGCAAAAAACAGTTAAATATTTTTTGCCTTTTCCTGTTATAGTAGAAATAGGGATTATGGCATGGCCATCTTGGGGGAGTGAGGGGGGATGGTTTCTCACTTTGTATTTCTCTCTCTCTCCAGTGAGCAAACTTACCCCCCCAAAATAATTAGCTTCATTAAATCTTCATTCTCGTGTCCACACTGGTAAATGTCTTACATTATTAAATGGAAGATATCCACAAAGCACTTCTACTATATTCCAGAGTAGGATGTTTGTGTCAGGGAAAATAATTTTTTGAGCTAAATTAGCTTCAATTTTAGCAATTTTACTGGAAAGAATGAGCGACACAGACAATATGATTATTTCAACTTGGATATTTCACTTACACATTTGACATTTGATATTTGGCCAAGTCTGTTCCTTCAAGACAATCCACTGAGTAATTCTGCCAATGATAAAATGAAAGCTTCCAAGAGAAGATTAGAATTTTGGAGAATCCATATTTACCACCGTTACCCTGACCCCTTCCCAGTGCTTACAACCTTTGCTGGTGGAATCTGTGACAATATAACACGTGCCTCTTTTTGTCGTTGTTGTTATTTATTTATTTATTTTTTTGTCTAGGATGTGTGCACTCCCAAAACAGAGAGAGAAGGCAAGTGAGAAATCACCCTCCAGGGAGGATGGCCACACAGCAATCCCTTCTCTTTCATGCTGCTCTGGGGATTTTAGGCACCCACACAGGCCTGGCATGATTTTCAAGCCTCAGGGTCAGGGACTCAAATCACCCAGTCCGCCATGTGAGAATCCAGCACTTTAACAGCCACCATGCCACCTGCTGGCCCAACACATGTAATTTTTACAATAATCTCTAAAAGGTTCAACACCAGAGTTATATAATTTGGTGAAACACGTTACTTTTCAAAATCTTAATTAGTGGGGGCGGCGTTCTCCATCAGAGACACCCGTTCTGCCTGACCTTCGCTTTTCTCTGTGGATCCATTATTAATCCACATCCTTTCCCCTCCTGGCATCCACATGGCCCCCCAACAGGGACATAAGCAGGGAAGATAATGCGAGTGGACACTCCTGTGCCTGGCCAACAATGAGAAAGTAAAAGAAAAATATTGAGAGCAAAATAAGGAGTGGATGTACAGCGGGCATAAAACAAGAGAACCTCCCTGAGGGGAAAAAAGAAAATCATGCATTAGTGCAAGATCCATTCAATATGCAAGACAGACATACGGATTTCAGTGTAACAGAACATGAAATAGTCAATGAACTGTTTCAGGTCTCACCTCACAAAAGGTGGAAATCACCCTTTAAGAAGCTCACATACAGGGTCAATAGGTGGCCTAGTGATTGAGGCACTGGATTCCCACAGGCTGACAGAGGTTAGAGCCCCAGACTTCAGGATTGTCTGAAAAAATTGTGAAATGCATTCTGAGACCAGCTGATGGTGTCATGGTAATGTCGCTGGACCAACCACAGGTTCAAGTCCCAGATCAGTAGCTTCAATAGTTGGTGCATTCACCTGCGTGCCCAAGATCCCAGGACGAAAACGGAGGAGAAGGGATTGAGGCATAGCCATCCCCCTGTCATTGGGAAGATTTTTCAGTTTCTATTTCTCTGTCATTCTCTCTCTTCCAGCGAGTGCATGTACCCTATAGCAACTCTCAAAACAAACAAACAAGAAAAAAAAAAAAAACTTCCTATACTTTATAAGGCTATTTTTTTCATATGCTTCAACCAAAAGAACAGATTAAATATAGAAGTAGACATGAAAATCTAGGGGTCATCTACTGAGACAGACAAAGACTTCTAAAAATGTAAAATCCATTCTTCTGTCTTATTTTGGAAAATAATTATTTCTTATAAATATAGTTCCTATAGTTCCTATAACATGCCTATGTTTACTTAGGGTCATTAATACTCTCAACAAATTAAATATTTTAAATGATTTTAGTTTCCAATATGCTGATATTGATAGGTATACCCATATAAGCACAATTACCTTTGGAGTCCTCATTAATTTCTAGCAGCATATAAGATCCTGAAACCGAATCGTTTGAGAACCGCTGACTTCACAGCTTCTGTCCAGGCCTCAGGGGGACGAGGTGACAAAGAGCTCAGTGCACGACAAAAAGGGTCAGGGCGAAGTCTGGGGTCTCAATCTCGAACGCGGAGTCCGGGGCGGGGAAGCCGAGCACTGGGGCGTCCCCTTCTCCCGGAGTTTCACTTCTTCCTCTCCCAACCGTGTTGGGTCCTTCTGCCCGGACACTCCTGACGCGACCCCAGCTCTCAGTCCCATTGGGCGCCCTGTTCTCACAGGAGCCAATCAGAGCCGTCGCCGCTCCCGGTTATAAACTCCCCAGGAAGCAGACGGGGACCCAGATCGCCCCAGACTCTGGGGATGGCGGTCATGGCGTTCCGAATCCTCCTCCTGGTGCTCTCGGGGGCCCTGGCCCTGTCGGAGACCTGGGCGGGTGAGTGGGGGTCGGGGTCGGGGGAGAACCACCGCCTCGCGGAGACGCGGGGCCCGGGAAGCCCCATCTCCGCGCTGTCCCCTGTCCTGA